GCTCTAGCAGGCTGGCTCTGAGTGACGGACTAGGGAGGCAACCTCACAGGAGTGGAAATCCCATAAGGGAAGGGCTGGGCTGAGGTTGCACCAGGACTGCGGGGATTTACTGTCCTTCATTTTTCGGTAGAGGGAAAAACATGTTCCTGCATTAAAGGCCACTACATCAGTCTTGATTGAATGGTGAATTGGTTGGTTAGTCACTCTCTACCTCTTGCCTTTTCTTTCTTCCATAGTCCCATAATAATAATACTTGTCACGGTTTGATTTGTTGGCTCATTTATTAGCTATCTCCCCACTAGACTGGAAGCCCCATGGGAAGAGGCTGATGGAAGCTTCATACCCCAGAGTGCAGCTCTTTGTGCTTGGAAGGCTGCCTGAGAATTGGAGCTGCACGCATGCAGAACATCTGCAAGTTAAAAACAAACCCTGTGTATGCGCTGCAAGCTGTCCATGAGCCTTCTTGGGATGGCTCTGTGGGGTTCAGCCTTGATAGGACAGGCTGGATGTCTCCTGTCATCCATTGGAAAGACATGTAGGTGACAGTGGTGTAGATTACTGATAGGCAGATTCTCCCATCCCCTTTGTCCCTGGGCTTCTTGGTCCTCAGGCATCTTCATGGCCCATCCCACACAGAGTGTCCAAGTTCCTACCCTCTTACTTGTGTCCTCTGGTGCAAAAAAGGCAGATTGTCTTCAGGTAATAGGACAGTGCAGGTTGGGAAAGGATATGGAAGATGGCTGGTCTGCAGTGTCTCTTCCATTTTGCCTTCTTGTTCTCTATTTGGAGATCCTGTCTCTCCAGACCTTCATCTTCTCTCTCCTGCTCCATTTGCCTTTTCTTTTCTTCTCCATTCCTCTAAGCTTAGTCCTGTCTAGTAGCTCAGACAGGAATAAACCAGCTGTGCAACTAGATCTCATTGGCACTCAGTCTTATTCAGTATGAGTACAAGTGAGGGAGAAGGTGGCAGAGGAAGATGGATGGAACAACCGATGGATACTTCTCACTCTCACTGGGTCACAACATTATACCTTGCTCCCGGTGGGAGTCCAAAGACCTCTGAATGCAAACTCCTGTGCAGTGAAATTTTTTACTCATTTGCATTGCATGAACACTCGGTCCAGTTCCATAAACACTGTCCAAGCACCCACTTCCTGCCAGGTTCTGTGTACACCCATTCTCAGTCTTTGTGCCTGTTTGCTTTTCTTTCCTTTAAAGTTGGAAGGGGACTTGGAAGTAGTCTAGCCTGAGGATCTTACAGGGCAGGTGCAGAAATGAGACTCTGGAGGCAAAGTGATGAGTCAAGGCCTCAGAGTCCATGTGGACTATGGCCTTGCTGCATGGCCAGAGCTCTGCCCAGTGGCCTCTGGGGTTTGGAGATATTTATAGTCACAGAGTCTAGTCCTTGAGTGATTGCCACATTCTGGTGCTCCATAAAGTGCTTTCCATGCCTTCCCTCTTTTAATTCTGAGAGCAGCCCTTAGAGAGCAGATGCCATTGTTAAGGATATTACTACCTCTTTTAACAAATGAGGAAATTAAGGCTTGGGGTAGCCAGGATATTTGGCCAAGGTCAGACACATAGCAGAGATGATAACCCATCTGGTTCTGTGAGAACCTGAAAGTTGTGCCCACTTTTGCTTTTGAAATATACAAGAGCACTTTTGAGTGTGAGACAGCCTGCTGGCTCCCCAATTGAAAAAAAAAAAGAAAGGTAGAGTTAAAAAAAGAAAGAATGTAAGCCTTTCTTTTGACTTTATTTTTCATTCATTAAAAAAACTGTAGTAAAAAATATATAAAGTTTACTACTTTAGCAATATCTGAAGTGTGTAATTTGTTGGCATTAATTATAGTCACACTGTTGTGCAACCATCACCACCATCCATCCATCCGTCCCAAGAACATTTTCCATTCTCCCAATCTGAAAACCTATTATCAGTAAACAATAGCTTTCCATCCCCATGCTCGTCCTATCCCCCACTCCCACCACCAGCCCTTGGCAACCATTCCACTTTCTGTCTCAATAAATTTTACTACTCTACCTTATAAAAGTGGAATTCTGTGGTTTTTGTCCTTCTGTGACTGGCTTATTTCACTTAGCATAGCATCCTCAAGGTTCATGTATGTTGTGGCATGTGTCAGAATCTCCTTCCTTCTGAATGCTGACCAGTGGTTCATTGTATGTACATGCCTATGTTTTGTTGATATCCACTGATGGACACTTGGGTTGCTTCTACCCTGTATAGTGTGCTAGGGCTTCCATAACAAAGCACTCCAGACTGTGTGGCTAAGCAGCAGAAATTTATTTTCTCACAGTTCTGGAGGCTGGAAGTCCAAGACTGAGGTGCCCGCAGGGTGGGTTTCTCCTGAGACCTCTCTCCTTGGCTTGCAGATAACTGCCTTCTTATTGTCTCCTCACATGGCCCTCTGCCTGAGCATGTGTCTGTCCCTGGTGTCTCTTCCTCCTCTTATAAGGACATCAGTCATATTGGATTAGAGCTCCACCTTTGTATGTCATTAAAGGTTCTGTCTTGAAATATAGTCACATTGGGGGTTAGGGCTTCAACATATAAATTTTGAAGAGATACAGTTTCATCCATAACATATCTGTTGGCTACTGTGAGTATGAGTGTATGAATATCTGTTCAAGTCCCGTTTTTCAATTATTTTGTCTATCTGCCCAGCAATAGGATTCTGAACTATATGGTAATTCTATTTTTAATTTCTGGGGGACCCACCATACTGTTTTACATAGTGATGGCACCATTTTAGATTTCTATGGCATTATTTCTTAATCTTCAGAACAGTTTTGCTTTTTATGAGAGGTCACTGATTTCCAAGGTCCTCCAGTAGGAAGCATTACGAAATATTAAATCCTTCAAAACTTGGTGCCCTTGTACCTTCTCCACCTCCTGTCAACAACCTTGGTTCTTGTTTTCATACTCAGCTGCTGGGAAAACAGCCCAGAAAGGAGGAAGCCATTAAAAATATCCTGGTCTCAGGCAGGTGCTTCAGGTGAGCCATAGCCTCCCAGACAGCAGCCCCTAAGCACTGGAGAGGTTTGCACCAGACCCTTCCTTGTCTCTGGGTGTGGCAGAGGTGGGATCTTCAGCCCACCTAGTTACCTGCTGCTTTCAGAATGACTGAGGGACAACAGATTTCAGACATCCCTCAGTGAGCAGCTTTTGAAACACTGCTGTAGATTCGTGACCTTAACAGAATGGGTGGGGATGTGTGTGAGAGTTGGCTTTATGTGGAGAGAGGGGCTGGGTTATGAAATATATCTCAGGATGTTGGGTAGGTATTTATGTGAGGTGAGGTTTGAGAGTGTGTAGGGGGTAGGTGTGTATGGGAACTGGATGTGGGGGCGTGCGGGGGATGGGGTAGGTGTACGTGGGTATGTGGGAGTAGGCTGGGCGGTTTGGGGAGCTGTGTGTGAGGGCACAGCATGGGGGTAGGAGTGTGTGTGCATAAGGTGAGGTGTTTGCATGTGTGTGTGGAGTAGGGGTGAGTGCAGGAGTTGAGTATGAGGGTGCATATGGAGTAGAAGGTGAGGAGTAGGTATGAGGGTCTATTGGGGTAGAGGTGATGGCACTTGGGGGTTAGAGTGTATGTACATGTGTGTGCAGTAAGGGGTGAGGGTGAGGGTAGAGGATGAGGGTGGGGGTTGGGGTGGGGGTGGAGGGTAAAGAGTGAGGGTGAGGGTGAGGGGTGTTG